CATTGTAGTTTTGATTTGCATTTCCGTATAGTTAATATTGAACATCTTTTTATGTGCTTGGTAGCCATTTGTATAAATTCTATGGAGAAATGTCTGTTCAAATCCATTTTATTAGATACATGATTTGCAAATTATTTTCTCCCATTCTGTCAATTTTTTTCATTTTCTTGATAGTGTTCTTTGAAGTGTAAAAGTTTTTAATATTGATGAAGTACCTTTTTAAAATTCTTTTATTATTTGCCTTTACGAACTTCTACACTTTCCCAAAATAAGAGAATTTTATAGTAGGTTCTGTATGAAATCAATTTCTTTACTAGAAAGAAAACTGAACTTTTAGAGATACTCTTAGTAAAACCAATTTGGATTTATTTTATCCCAGTTGTATTAAATGCACTCTCCATTAGCAGAACAGAGTTCTGAGAAGTAGCTGGATGGCCAAACTTGTGTCAGTGGAAACTATTTTAGCCACATTTTCATTTAAAGAAAAACAATTTCTCAACGTCTGATTTCCACTTTCTATTAGAAAAATATTCTGTGGACTTTGGTCACTACCAATAACACTTATTGTTGGGAAAGCTCTTGTGAAATATTTGTCAAGCACATGAAATAGTAAAAAGTGAAATATAGTAATTAAGATTTGTGTCCTATCGATTGTGTAGCTAAAGCAATTTTTCATTACTAACATAAGATTTAATAAGTATAAGTAGTTAAAGATTCTGTCTTGGCACTAGTCATTAGCATGTAATTGAACTAGTAAAAAAGATCAGTTAAAGCTGTGTTGATTACCACCTTATCTTTGAAAGGCAATTAAAGACCTCAATCATTGCAACAAGATTTGATTGTGCAGCCTTTATTGGACATTGATCTTCCAGCAAAATGCAGTTACATTTTCCATTAATTTACAGTAACACAGTTTAACTTTGATACCCTAGACTGTTGACCCAGGTGAGATGTAATGCTAAGTACTTGTTTAGGTTAAGATGCCCCCAAACATCAGACAGTCTGAATAGCAAGTGCTGAAAAAAAGTAGATACCTGATATGGTAACTTTAGGATAAGGTTTCGGTTATCTGCATTAGCTTTTAAATGAAATGAAATCAAGATCCTTTTCTGTATGTCACCCCACTCATTCAAACATCACTCATTCTTTAATAGTTATTTCATGAAGAATTCTAGGTGTTCTGTGATTATAGTTTTAAGTGAATATAAATATGACACAAAACAAAATGTATATTTAAAAAGAGATACATATGGCTTTTAAGAATTAAAATTAGCCCTAGCCAGTTTTGCTCAGTGGATAGAGCACTGGCCTGTGGCCCAAAGGGTCCCGAGTTCGATTCCGTTCAAGGGCACATGTGAGGGTTGCAGGCTCATCCCCAGTCGGGGGTGTGCAGGAGGCAGCCGATCAATGATTCTCTCTCATCATTGATGTTTCTCTCTCTCTCTCTCTCACTCTCTCTCTCTCAATCAATAAAAAGATGTTTTAAAAAATTAAAATTGTTTCAATTTTTACTGGTCAATAAAATAGCCTTGACAGGTTTCTCAGTGGTTAGAGCATCAGCCCATGCACCAAAGGATCACAGGTTCGATTCCCAATCGAGGGCACATACCTGGGTTGCAGGTTCCATCGCAGGTCCAGTCAGGGCACATGCAGGAGGCAACCAATCGATGTGTCTCTCTCACATTGATGTTTCTCTCTCTCTTCCCCTCCCTCCCACTCTCTGTAAAAATCAATGGAAAAATATTCTCAGGCGACTATGGACAACAAAAGTAATAATGGTGACTAAATATGGAATGAAATTATAACTGTATAATTTGGTATGTTAAGATATCAGCACTGAGAAACCAGGGATTTTTGTATTAGCAACTTCTGTCATGCTCCCAACTATGTTACTTCATCTTTATGGTGGTTCATCACTTACAAAGGAACTAAGAATTTTGACCAGAAGTTTCTTCCAATACTGAATAATTTATTTGTATAGAAATAACAATAGAAGAGATACAAGATTTTATATTAAAATGCACCTTTATTAAACAATAGTTTTGCCTATATTATTTTAAAGGCAAAATCCCATTAAAGAAGTATAGGCAAAAAAGCTGTCTTTGGTTTCTTCATTAAGAAAACTCCTGACATCCAGAAAACTAGGGTCCACCTGGCCCCTGCTTGCCACCTTAGGCACATCCAGTATGTTCACAGACACACACAAGACATCATTAATGTGTCTTCTTTCTTTCTCTGGCATTGTTTTAAAAAATATTTTTATTAATGAAGCCTTCTAAACATAAATATATATGGAATAGAAAATGAGGACAACAGCTTTTACTGAAATAAAAGTAAAACAACATTTGCTTACAAGCATATTCATGATACATTTTAAGGTAGAAAGATTTCTTGTTTTGTCCTCAGATTACAGGAGGAAAAAGGAAAACACAAAGGAAGAGTAGTTATTAACCTGAGGTTAAAAGATAGCATTGATACTAAACATAGAATCAATCTCCTGACTTCCAGCATTTATACTTTATCCCTTTTAGGCCACAATGTTTCAATGTAATACCCAAATTTAAAGAAAAAACTTAAATAATTCCTGTTCAATGCAGAGCATTTTTTCAGATTATAAGGTTCACCACAAGACTTCATAAATCCAATGAATGCTATTTTAATATTTGAACCATGCCCTTAGCCATTGCTGAGTTCATCCTTCACCATGATCAACTCCACGAGAGCAAGAGGTCTATTGATTTTCATGTAATACAAGAAAATATTATATTTGCTTAATTGTTACACAGTGAGCACAGCAGACAAGAAATCATGGCTCTATTTAATGCTGCAAGCAGCAGAGAATTACAGAGATCAATAGGGTAGTTTGTCAAAGATGTTCTCCAAGGAGACTTACCTATCACCATATGGACAAGAAGTCACACTGACTATCGCTATTGGAAAACAGGTAAGCAGAGTCAGCAGTACAAATTATCAGAAATCAAACAGGCCAGTGTGAAAAGAAGTGCAACTCTAACTGAAAAGCTGTATTTATAGTTTGGTAATTAAAAACCATTTTATCAGCCTTGTATTGGGACCAAACCTTTACAGTATTGACAAGACCAGCAGCAATGAATGAGCAGTATTTGACTTAAAACTTATGAGCTATAGTTATTTAATGTGGCCCATTACAGAGAAAATCAGTTCTAGCCTTCCATGCAAAATGCTAATAGTCAGTTTTATTATTAATGAATGCTTAATGTAACACTATCTCCTTTGTGTAAGCCATTCATTTAACTAGTGTCAAGTATATTCTTCTGGACCAACTATACTGGCATAAATATTTCTTTGATTAAAGTGTTACTTAGAATTGCTTTTAGACAAGTGAACAGTACATATATTTAAGAACACTTCACTCTCTGTAGCTTTCTTAAAATGACTACCTTTAGCGAAGCCCATTTGTATTAGCTCATTATTCTGGTGCTTTCACCTCTATCACTTCCACTCACTTTCTCTACTGATTTGCCAGAAGCAAGCACCCAAATGTTGTTTAGATTGAATTTTATAAAATATTTTGCACAAAATGTGTAAATGTTGTAGAGTATCAACAACACATTAACATAAAATGATATATAATGTATGTTTGTAATTATGGGAGAGATCATAAATCTTAAACATCCATTGGTTTAGAAATTAAATAGTTCTACTTAGTTCTCCCTAAATTACTACAAATTTCTGAAATTTACCATTCATCTGGGTATTCTGTACTACCCCCAAGGATAAATTTTTTTAAATGACTTTGCTTTCAAAAATGCAATTAACTTAATAAAATTATAATGCAAAACTGCCATCAGGTCTTCAAAATTTCAGCCCACTTCCCATCGCCAATAAGTCTATAGATATGTACCATTTCAGCTAATTGCTTTTATAAACAGTTATCAAATTTATTTTTTCTAGGTCTTTCTGGAACTTAATTGTCCTTACAGCTTTATCAGCATGCTATTTTAACTTTTAATAAGTCTTCATTTCATTCATCTTGCTGCATTTACATTAACCAGTGTTGTTATTATAGTTGGTATTGGATTCTTTAGGCAATCTATAATAATAAAAGGGTAATATGCTAATTAGACTGGACGACCTTCCGGACAAATCCAGGGCTGTGCGGAAAGCCCGGGTCCCGGGTGCCAGAGGAAGCCGGTGCCGGCAGCCGGGGGAAGGAAGGCCTACTCTTGCACGAATTTCAGGCATCAGGCCTCTAGGAAGAAAATAAACTAACAAACAAAATAGAAACAGACTCTTAGATACAGAGAACAGACTGACAGCTGTCAGAGGGGAGGGGGTGGTGGCTGGGTGGAAAAGGTGAAGGGATGAAGCAAAGAAAACAAACAACTCAGAGAGTTCAGTATGGTGATTACCAGGGGGAAAGGGAATTGGGGGGAGGTAGAAGAGGGTAAAGCAGGAATAAATGGTGATGGAAGGAAACTTGACTTGGGGTGGTGAACACACAATACAATATACACCTGAAACCTACATAATTTTATTAACCAGTGTCACCCCAATACATTCAATTTAAAATTTTTTTTAAAGTTTACCTCTTATCCAGGTAAATGGTACAAGGGCTTTAATAAATTTCCATTTAAAGTCCTGGCAGCTAAATGGTTTAGATTTCAGACTGCAAATAGAATTCTCATCAATTTTGGATTTACCAATAATATTATATTAACTTCACAACATATCCTACTTTTCCAATGTCATATAAAAGATTTTTCCCTTTCTTCTTTGTGTGGGTGTCTATTATTTTCTCTTCAAAGGGAATTTGTTAATACCTAACTATAGAATCTACATGTTATAATTATTTTTAACTGTAGTTTAGTCTAGTTCTAGGAAAAAAGTTGGTATAAGCATTATGTGTTCCTAGTTCCCATGGGCTAAACAGAGTATGTGATATATAACCATGTAGGAAAAGCTTTGCCTCTGCAGGGCCATGATTCATCTTAAAGCACCAGACACCATAGAAAAGAACAAAGTGTTTGCAAAAGTTTTATTTTAAAGGATCAAAAATAAATATTGCACATACACACAAGAGAAAATCCACTAATATTTATGTTCTCCAATGTACACTTTTAATACATGGCACCTTCATCTTCTTTATTTAGAAAATAAACTGTTATTGGTCCATATCTGGTATGCACAGTCTCTGTGACTCTAGCAAATAACCAGGAGCCAAGTCCATATAATAAGGTTGGAATACCTAAAAAACAAATGAATACATTATTTCCCAATGTCAATACGTATTAATCATGCACCCATGTATTTGTCATGATACAAGCTGCACAGTACTCTTTAGCAATGTCAACAAATTATCAAATTATAAAAACAGGAGTTAAGTATTGACTCTACCTAAGAGCTCAAGTTTCATCTGTTTGGGGAACATGATAATTGTGTGAGCCTAGGAATTTTTAAACCTAAAGATACGGCTGGTATAAATTTTAGCTCAAAGCACTTTACAAGCACTAATTCATTACCTCCAAGTAATTATGAAGTAATTCTATATTCTTTTCACAAATAAGCAAACATAGAATATTCATTAGTTTAGCTGTAGATACTCCTGGATGAGCTTAAATCACTGGGTCAACTTTAAGTTACACAGTAACATTGATGGCTAAAGTAATTTTTTTGTACAACTTGAAAAAAAATCGGGTCAAATAGGTCTTCAAAACCATGGCAAAACTTGACTCTAAGGAAGATTTTAATATAATAACAGGCATGAGAAATAGTATTTTTATATTTGATTGAAGACAGGCTTTTTTCAACCTATTTAAAATAGACACATAGTAGACTCCAATGTGTTTCTTTCTTGGAATATTTCCATTTGATAAGATTTTGCTGATATACTTGAGATTAACTGCCATTTGTGATACATAAAACTAAACATATACTACACTGAGATTTGGATATGCATATGAGACTATGTTGGACACAAACTTTCACAATTCCCATCTTTTTTAAAGCATTTATTTAAAATCAATGATCATTAACACATTAAAAAGTATGCAGAAAACCTTAGGCACATGAATCAATAAAAAATATTGTATGCTCTACACAGAATAAAGTATTAATTTTATTGTTGCTGTGTAGGAATTGGACCAAAATGACAATTTAAAGGGTTAGAGCTGCACATTTGGAAAATCATTTTCTTTCTCATTAATAGAGAAATCAACACAGGCTCAGGACTAATATTGCTTACTTTTTTTTTCTTATTTTTCTGCAAGAGTGTATTTGCTGTGCTATGCTCTTTTTGAGAGTATAAGTGCATTGAACTACTTTGTGCTTATTCCCTGAAGCTGCATTCCAGTCACTGTAATGCCAAAGATTAATCAGGAAAAGCATCACTAGCTGGCGATGAGAAGAAGCAAAAATGCCCATTCAAGCGGGCACCTCTCTGTTTTTAGGAATATACTGGGTCACAGCTTGTCACTCACTATCACAGGGTTCCCTGGAACTCCTATGAAATACTTTACAACATATTACCTTCTTTGCCTTGGTAATACACAAAAGAATTCTCTAAAAAGGAGTGTCACAAAATATCCATAAAAACTAGCAACATAAAGCTATTTATAAATTATTTAAACAAAAAGCGGGGGGGGGGGAAGGCTAGTAGGACAAGGGGTGGGGTAGTGAACAAGAGAAGAAAAAAAAACAAGAGAGGTAGAAAAAAAGCAAAGAGTAGAGGGAGCAGGTGAAATAAAATATAAATTTAAAATACGACACCACAGTTCAAAATCTGAAAATCAATGGCGTGAGGAAGAAAAACAGGCTCTAGAGGCAATTACTAATTTTCTAAACATATTGAGAGTAAAATATGTAACATATCCCCTTTAAACCAATTCTGAGGACACAGGAATAGCTGGTGACAATGAAAATTTTGTTTGTTTTACAGTATTTACCACAGTTTTCAGTTAAATATTGACACTTTAAAAAATCACACAAATAAATGGTTAATATTTTTTCAGCTAAAATGGAGGACTGATCAAAGATTACTAGTTTAATAATAACAATGTCTCTTATTAGGAAACAACTAAGAGCTATTAGCAGTAATGCTGTTTGATCGGGGATGGAGTTGTGATATAGGAGTCAGAAATTCTATATATTTTTTCCTGCAGTATATTTAATACAGTCAGGCTAATACACTATATGGGAAGCGTTGCCATGTACGCTGTATAATTTACACATTAAAAACACAATTTTCTTTATCTATAGCACATATGCTTTAAAGTCTATAAGATTCCATGAAAAATTAAAAATTTTCCAGCCTGTTTGAAACCTATCATAACATTAAAATGAAATGGAAAGTCAGTTCTTTGCATAATAATTCATTTTGAGTCAGCTGAACAGTAGGTAAACAAACCACTGTCAAATTAAGCACTTAAAAAAAATTAGAACTTCGTAGCAAGTCTCTGATTACCCATTCATTCCAATGGTAAGTTGCTTTTCTTAAATCTCAATCTACTTCCCAGCAGGATACACAGGCTGATAAACCATCAGAAAATGTCAGCTTCCACTGAAGAAAAGGCAGAGAGAAAGAGAACAAATGGGTAAGAGAGAAATCTCTATTATTTACAAAATGGAAAGATGAATTACTCTGATAATTTCTAATTTGGAAGGGAAGAAGACAAACAAAATCCTGAGTATTTTTTATCAATAAACTATGTACTTAATGATCCAGAGGGGCAATTGTACATCACAGAGTGGGAAGGAATCCTATTATCTAATTCACATTCCCTAACCTTCAGACAAAATTACAAAATAAATATTACCAAATTGGTGGATACATTACTCTTTACAAAGTCCAAAAATAAATTCCCTTTATCAGTACAATCCAATTTGTATTAAAGTATGCATGAACAGAAAGTTTTCCTTTCTGTTTAACTTAAAACTCTTATTCCCATCTGAGCAGGATTATTTGAATTTCTAAAAGACCATTCACTCTTCAACCTTCTCTTACACACACACACACACACACACACACACATAACTACAACTGTTTTTTCTTTCTTCAAAAGGTTTTACTTTTCCGTATGAGAATGTTCTAGGTATCCTACTTTTCTTTTAATTTCTTTCTACCTAAAAACAAACAAAACAACCCTAATCATTAAGGTGTTCCTAAAGTGTTAGGTTTTAAAGCGTGAAAACTTTAAAAAAGAAGGCACTGGGCTCCTGTTACACTTTTTCTCTAGTCATCGTGCCAAATAACTATGAATTGAACTATCTAAATCACCTAACCCTTTCAACTTCCTATCAACCTCAGAATTAGTGGGCATGCTCTATAGTTCATCAACCAAACAGTAAGACATTTTTTTAAAGGGTTACACATTGCTAAATAATCTGCTCCTTACTGGACTGAACCCAGGATAATCCCAGGGGAGCAATGGCTCAAAAAACCCATGACTGACATTTGTGAGTTATTATATGCCAAAACATACCTACCATATTTAAATTGAATGAGGGATCAGACGACATAACACTAGTGCAGCTGCTTTAGCTTTCATTAAGTTTGAAAAACTGGTTGGGTAACATGGTTCAGCTCCCAGTCAAGCTTTTGAATTACTAAAATTTGGACTAATTTAGTATCAGCAATTAATAGGTTCAAAACATCTTGAGGCCTATTTTTCACTGATCTATAAAGGACACCTCGTGTCAATGTTTATGCCTCTTCTGTCATTAACCAAAAGAAAATAAACAACCAGCAAGAGTAAACACTCTCAGGATTAGAATATTCCCATGAAAACCTACAGATATGAAAGGGGCAGCCTTTTAAGTACCTTTTAGGCCTAGCATCTGAGCAAACTAATATGACTGGTGAAAACCTTCAGTGCTTTTAGCAAAAGGAACTTGCTGGGATTCCCTATTAACAAAACAAAGAAACTTAAAAAAGGTAGTTCCAGTGTTTAGAATATGAGCGCACGCATATGCATATATATGTTCATGGGGACATATCCTGCCATGCAGTAAGGCATTTTTTAAACTTCAGAGCTACTTTCCAGTGGCTTACACCCTCCTTACTGCCCAATATAGGGGTCCTCCAGTTAAGAGCGGTAGGCAGTGAGGCTGGAATGCCTCGCCCCCAGGGTGATCCCCAGGCCTGTGGACATGGCCCACTTTCCAGGGACGAGTCAGTAGCAACAGCTTAGCCCCAGGAGCGCTTACCGGGAGGGCGGGGTGGGGTACAAACGCCCAGAGCCCAGGCCTGTGCTGGAGGAGTGGGTGTGGTGGGGCGCGGAGGCAGGGTCCGGGAACCCCAACAGCGAGGGGCGCGCGTGGCGAGCCCGTGCGCCCGGGAGAGCCTGCACGCGGCCGAAACAGGGCTCCTCCCGGGCCAACGCGGTCTGACCCTGGGCCGGGGTCTCGGCCTCGGGCCTCGGAGCGAGCGGGTGGTCGGCGTGCTTTGCAACCGCGGGGCCGTCGTCGGTGGGACGAGCTTCCCCCGCCCGGGCCACTCACCGAGGTTGACGACCTTGAGCGCCGTGAAGAACCGGTCCTGCTGGGCCAGGTCCTGCCAGGGGGCCTTGGAGCAGTGATACTTGATGAAGGGGAAGCAGCCGGTGCGCAGGACGTGGTAGTTGGCGCCTGCACCGGCCAGTTGAAGTGCGAGAGGCCGAACTGGTCGTTGCGGACGGCGCTGTAGGGGACGCAGAAGGAGGTCCAGTGCGG